GCCGGGGCCCGTGAGTGGCACCTTCCAGCCACAGCCGGTCCTGCACGTGGCTCCTCTGCTTCAGGTCCATCTATGCCCAAACCAGTTGCATAACAAACCTTTCAGCTCCTCACGAGGGTTAGAAATCACTTGGTTAGGAGAGAACCAGCGGTTGCTTCCACTGATCCATTTCCACGAAAAAGAAGAGGACAAAGTCAGCTCTAGGCTAAGGCAAGGGCGCTTGGCGGCAGCGGAGACGCCAGCACCCTGCACTGGAGGCCTGGCTGGACCCCAGCTTCCTGCGGCTGCAGACCCTGGGAGGCAGTGGCCAACGGCCCATGGAGTTCTGCCTACGCCACCCACATGGGGGACCTGAACTGGGTCTTGGCCCCGGCTTTGGCCTTGTCTAGCCCTGGCTGTGAGGGCATTTGGGGAGCAAAACAGTGGATGGGAACTCTGCTTCTCAAGAACCTGAATCCAGGGGCCGGCGCTGTGGCGTAGCGGGTAAAGCCGCCACCTGCCATGCCGGCATCCCATGTGGATGCCGGTTCGAGTCCCGGCTGCTCCACTTCTGATCCAGCTCTCAGCTGTGGCCTGGGAAAGCAGTGGAGGATGGCCCAAGTCCTTGGGCCCCTGCACCCGTGTGGGAGACCCGGAAGAAGCTCCTCGCTCCTGGCTTTGGATTGGCCCAGCTCCGACCACTGTGGCTATTTGGGGAGTGAACCAGCAGATGGAAGACCTCTCTCTCTCTCTCTACCTCTACCTCTCTGTAATCCTGCCTTTCACAAATAAATCTTATAAAACCAAAACCCTGAAAACCCTGAATCCGTTCTGAGATGGTGAGTGGGGAGCTTGCTTCTCGCCGGCGCCAGGAAAATTTCTGGAGGGGGGAAGGGGGTGCAGCAGCTCCTCCTTCGTGCTGACCTGCGAGCTATCCAAATGCCCCCCCCCGACCTTTAGCCACGGAACCCAGGGGAGGGACCTGCACCAGAACCTCACTGCAGAGTCCACGCGCTCACACCCCGGCCACGGTGTGCGGGTGGCCTGGCGGGAGTTGCGTGGGGTGCAGGCCCCATGGAGTGCCCACGGCCCTGCTTCCAGCCCAGCCTCCCTTTAACGTGCTGGGCAGGCAGCCACCGGCCCAAGCGCTTGAGCCTCTGCCACCCGCCGTGGGACGGCCAGATGGAGCTCCTGGCTTGAGTCTGGCCCAGCCCTCGCTGCTGTGGCCATTTGGGGAGTAAAACAGCAGATGGGAGATCTCTGTCACTCCCCTCTCTGTCACTCTGCCTTTCAAATAAATAACTAAATCTTTAATTTTTTTTTTTTTTTAAAGGGACACTGGCCTATTCATGATAGGGGCTGTGGCCAGCCACACCCGCACGGGCTCCATGGGAGCGAAGGGCACAGGCCAGTCCTGCCACGGGAGGGACGGACGGCAGCAGCTGTTGTCTGAGAGAGGACCCCCCCCCCCCCCCCCCCCGCTGACGGGGACGGCGACCGGAGCCGTGAAATTCTCCGTGGGCAGAGGAGATGGAACGCAGAGCCCCTGACTCAGGCTGGGCAAAGGCTGGGGCCTCTCTGCTTCGTGGGAGGCGTGGCCGGCCTTCGCCTGCTCAGCTTTGCAATCGCTCTGGGCAGACGCTGGCTTGCAGGCCAGAGGCCGAGCAGCTCGTGGGCTGCAGGGGTGCCAGGCCCTACAGGCACGTCCCTCACAGGGGCAGGCCTCTGGCGCGGCAGGTAAGCCCCTTCCTGGCATGTCCGCCTCTCAGGGTGACGGGTTCAAGTCCCAGCCGCTCTACTTCTGACCCAGCTCCCTGCTAACGCGCACCCTGTGAGGCAGCAGGTGGGGGCTCAGGTGCCGGGTCCCTGCCACCCACGTGGGAGACCCGGATGGAAGTCTGGGCTCCTGGCTTCGGCCTGGCCCGGTCCTGGTTTTTGTGGGCATTTGGGGATGGAAGATCTCTCTCAGCCTTTTGAATAAAAAAATGAAACCAACTGAAACAATCTTAAAACAATGGAAAAAAATAAAAGTACACGAGGCGGGGGCAGCTCTCCTCTAGGAGTTCCTGAAATTACAAGGGACTCGGTGTGGGGGGGGTCCCCTCCTTCCTCCTCTGTCCTCCCCCTGCACCTGTCTCCTCCCGTCCCCAGGGGCCAAAAGGTGAATCACCCCATGGAACTGTGGCTGCGAGATGGGCTTTGAGGCACCGTGCGGGTGTGGCTGCTGGGGTCTCTTTCTGCACCTGTCTGCGCACCTGTCTCCTTGGCACCTGTCTGCTTCCCTTTAAGGAACCTGCCAACCAGCATTGCCTTGGTGCTCCCTGCCTCCCCTGGGCAGCACAGGGCGAGGTCAGGATGATGGGTGCCAGCCAGGACACAGGCTCTGAGAACCACCCCCAGGGCCCCCACACACAGGGGGCTTTGAAAGAAGCCAGCATAAAACTATTTGTAGGAAACTAAGACTCCCCCCACTCCCCCCAAAATCTACCTACGTAGCTACCTACCTTAATGGGCCATTGATCCACAGATCTGTCCTTTAAAAACCTCCCTTTAAAAAACCAATGTCACCTTGGCGCTCCCTGCCTCCCCTGGGTAGCGCAGGGCGAGGTCAGGATAATGGGTGCCAGCCAGGACGCAGGCTCCGAGGGCCACCCCCAGGGCCCCCACACACGGGGGGCTTTGAAAGAAGCCAGCATAAAACTATTTGTAGGAAACTAAGACTCCCCCACTCCCCCCAAAATCTACCTACGTAGCTACCCACCTTAATGGGCCACTGATCCACAGATCTGTCCTTTAAAAACCTCCCTTTAAAAAACGTTACTTACAGCACAGGCAGGGGCTGCACTGTTCACCTCACCCTTTCTAGAGGCCTCAGTAACTTCTCTCTCTCAGTAGGGTCTCTCTCTCCCCTTTGCGGACAACCCATTAGCAAGTCTGACATGAAACAGAGGTGCCGCAGGCAGCAGAGCTGTGCAGGAGGCATGCGGGCTCCCGGGGCCGGCAGCCAGGGTGAGCAAGACCACCCGAGGTCCGTGGTGGCAGCACAGTGCCCGCCACCCCGTCAGGCCCTTGCCAGCTCTCCCTGCAGGGCTGGGATGGGCCCCCTGGACAGCAGGTGGGTCTCGTGAGGTCCTGACTCGCAGGGAGGGAGGCTGGGGGCCCGGGCATTTCTCCTGGAAGTTCAGGGGCAAACCAGGCTGGGGCTGGCATTACCTGCCTGTAGCCACCTGGTCCTGCCAGGCCCAGCAGCTCCCAGCAGAGACCCAACGGTGCTGCCTCAAAGTCAGAGCCTCATTCTGTGTCCTGGGGCCTCTTGGGAGGGTTCCGTGGTAGCCACGGAGAGAAGAGGGGATCAGAATCCCATGGAAGTCTCGGGCACAGAGGCCCGCTCCCCTATAGCCGCTGCCCCCAAGGGTTCACAAACACGCATCGTTCTAAGAGATTTCTGTTTTTCCAGGCTAAATCGCATACGCTGCAGGCACAGCCTCTGTGCTTCTTAGCAACTCCCTCGCAGAGAGAACCACTCCTGACAACAAAGAGCCTTCCGAGAAGGAGACCTGCGCCCCACGAGGGCTTCCGCTGGTGGCTTCCCCGCCGCTGGCCGCAGCGTGGGACCCACAAGCCACCTCCCTCCCAGCACCGCTGTCTCACGGAGACCCCTGGTCAGTCCCACCCACAGAGCCTTGGGTGACTTTCTAAAGCCATCTGATAGCTGACAAACATCGACCACACTCCTCGCGGGAGCCTCGCGCGTTGCTTCCACGCGGGACACAGCGTCAGAGGGAGGTTCAAGCATCACGACAATGGCCTGCTAGGGTCGGAGGGAAAACACTTCTCTCCCAGGACGCGTGCAGGCACGGCCGACGCTCACGCAGCCAGGCCCGAGAGCGATGGCTTGCTTAATTCAGGAATAGGGGTTCGCAGCTAGAAAACCGGGGAGGCAGCCAGAGACACCCACAGCCAGCTTGGCCAGACTCAAACAAGGGCACGTGTACCACACAGCGGTCTCAGGGGGCCTGCGCTGAGCTCGGGACCCCACAGCCACCGCAGCACAGTAGCTAGTCCCCCCCCCCCCAAAAGGTCCTCCTTTGCTTTGTTTCCCATGAATCAGTGGGGCATCAACAGGTACACTTAGAGAGAACAAAGCTCAGGGTGCTGCTGTCTCGGGAGCTGGCTGAGGAAGACTCCATTACAACTGTGGGCCGAGGAGAGGCGGGCAGGCAGGAGGAGGTGGTGGGAGCCATGGCCGGGCGCCAGGGCCACACGTCCTCAGGGCAGGGCTACCAAGTCCCGGGAGACCTCCCCTGAGACCCAGGGCTTCCATGCCCACAGCAGGTGGCCTGAGCCTCACCCTCTGCCACCTGCTCCCAGGAGCCATTGCCAGCCAGCTGCCTTCCCCTGGGCCTCACCCTGAGCGGCTCTCAGGGGCGTGTGGACCCCCCTGCTACCCCTCCTCCTCACACTCCGCTCTGCCCCGGTCCCTCCCTCCAAGGCTGCACAAGGTCTCCCAGGTGGACGAGATACTCGCCAAGTCTCTGACTATGACCTGCTGGGAGGGTGCCGGGTGCCGGGTGCCGGCGGCTTGCCCTGCGTGAGACCTGCAGCCTCTGTGGCATGGAGTATGGATTCCGACTCCGCCCCCGGCCTTGGACAGACACACCAGCGGGCCCGCAGAGGAGCGGAGCGAGCAGTGGACGGCGGAGGCGGCTCCGCCCACAGGATCCTTATCTCTTTCCCTTTATCACCGTTTGTAGCCACGTGACTCGTAAAATGCCGCAAACTGGGAATGAGGCCCGTGCTCCTGACAGGATGCTAACCTGAACGGGCCCGTCCACTTGTGGGATCCTGCTGGGGGCCTCGCTACAACTCGAGGGGTCTCGGGACGTGTTGCCGAGTGACAAAGGCCGCCCGAGATGGCTGCTTCCCTAGGGTCCGGGGACACCACCCTCAAAGTGACGGCGCTATCGGGAGGGGACAGGGCAGTGACGCTTCGCACAGGAACAACGCGACGGGCTAGTTACCTGAGCTCACGCAGCCCTGCTGCAGGGGGTCCTGTAGTGGCGGCACCGGGTGGAGGACTAAATGGGAGAAAGGCCAGGGTTAGAGGTGCGAGCGAGGCCCGGGGCTCCCGGGGCTCCCGGCTTCCTAACTGGCTGCAGTGCCAGGAGCGATGGGCTCAGACCCTCAGCCTCCCTGGGGAGGGTGGGGACGGGCGTGCGGGCCTGCATGGCACTGGGGGCAGGCAGAAGCCGTGGCTCACGACGTCTGTCACGTCTGTGCCTTTGGCTGCTTTCTTCCCTGACTTCTTGATTTAGCCACTTGACTTTTACCTATATTTATGTATAAACAGCATTTCCTTAATTGGTAACTCATTTGCTGCTGCTGCTTATAAAATTAGCCCAGGCACAACCTCTCTCCTAAAAACCACTGGGTCCCATGGCAACAGGTGGCGCGGGGGAGGGGCAGCTGTCTACCTCCAGGCCTAAGCAGCAGCCCAGGTGCCACCTCCCTCTGCCCCTCCCTACATCGGCCCCTCCCCCCGGGGGTGGACCATCCTGTGTCCCCGCCCCTCCAGGACCCGGGCTGCCCTCACCTGGCCCTTGCTGCTGCCCCTGGACAGGAGGACGCCCTCCCTGCGTCAGACCCCTCCCCTCGGGGGCGGACCATCCTGTGTCCCCGCCCCTCCAGGACCCGGGCTGCCCTCACCTGGCCCCTGCTGCTGCCCCTGGACAGGCAGGACGCCCTGGCCCAGTTCGCCGTTCAGCCAGAGCTGCATACGGATGAAGGGTTCTCGGCCTTTCTGGGTGAGCTTGCTCCACGGCTTCGGCCGGGACAGCATGTCACTGACGCTGCCCTGGGACAGGCCCAGCACCTGCGGTGACAACAGGAGCACACGGCCGTCAGTGCCCAGGTACCCGGATGATGCCACAAGATGCTTCAGGGACACACGCGGCCAGGTGGCAGTGTGGTGGGGATGTCAGCCCACGGGGGGCACTGAGGGCTGACTCCTGGGCAGGGGCCACAGCCCGGGGGTGGTGACGAATGGCAGGAGGCAGAACAAGATTTGGAAAGTCACCGGTGGGCCTGATGCCCTGGTATGGGGGGGGTGGTTTGGGTGAGTCGTGGTTACAGCCACGGCTCCCAGCTCCCAGGGAGATAGGCTCGGGAGAAGAGGGAGGTCTTGAACCAGCCAAGGCTGCACGGCTGCCACCCTGCAGGGGAAGAGGAAGTACTGAGAAGCACCCTGCTCTCTACCCGGGGGCACCAAGCAAGGCTGGGGTGCTGGGCGCAGGACCTGAGAGGCAGCAACAGTGGACGCTGGCAGGATGCGGGATGAGCCAGGGTGGTGCTGAGAAAGGTTCGTGGCCTTTGATCACGCCCTGCTCGGGGGTTGGGGCCCAGAGGTGAGCTGGTGGGGGCGGGGAGCCAGGCTGGGAGTGGCGCTGAGCTGTCGTCGGTGACAGGCTGCACGTACATGGCCGCGCTCTCTGGCGCACGCATATGGCCATGCATATGTATGGGCACAAACACCGCCCAGGGCGCAGATGCAGCCCGGGGATATTTAGGGGCTGCCTCCGATCACTCTTCGGGAAAGTTCTCAGTTCCAGAATAAGCTACACTGCTGGGCCAAGCAAGTTCAATGCTATTAAGTCTCTGCTACATTTAAGGCAGGAGCACAAATGTCTATTTAAATGTTCTCAAGCGGTATTTTTACAACGCTGAGCTAGAAATTTTCCAGGGGCTGTAGGACTTGCATCCTCCTCATCCCCACTCCCTCACTACCTTGCGTGAAATTCGGACGACCCTGCGCTGGGGGCATGAGTCGGTGCTGCCGGCCGGGAAGGCAGAGTGGAACGTGGCCCCTCACAATCAGAACGGCACGTCTGACTGTAAAATGATGCTGGGGCCGTGTGTTTACCTTAGGCTCTACGGGCACGGTAAATCCCCACGCTCCAGACCGTGGCAAGTGCTGGGAACACAGAGGGTCTGCAGCTGGCACTTCCTGGGCCAAGGAGGAACGGCATGGGCAGCCCCTCACCCCGCCCCGGCTGAGCCACGTGAGGAGGGAGCACCTGCCCCACGCTGAGTGCTCTGTGGACTCGCTGCCCCTGGGCCATCGGATCGGGTCTACTGTGGCCAAAACAGCCTGGACAGGCACCTCTTAGCTGTCCTTGGCCGTGGAGGCCGGAGCTGGACTTAGCCACCTGCCAGCGTGGGACGAGATGTTCACCTCTCTACACCTCAGGTTCCCATCGCGTGACAATTTCACCATCTTCCCTCCTGAGAGAGCTGAGGAGGGACTGGCACGGGAGGCCCAGCCCAGAACCTGGCCTGCAGGGGGCTCGGCAGACGGACCTAGGGAGCAGGCACCCTTGCCCCGTGGCCCCTCTGGACGTCTGGGAGAAAGCAACACTTGAGGATCTCGGGGTGACTGAGCTGGGTGGTGCGGGCCGGCGTTGGGGCACAGCGGGTTAAGCGGCCCCCTGTGCTGCCGGATTCCCTAGCAGACTATGTGTTCGAGTCCCAGCTGCTCTGCTTCTGATCCAGCTCCCTGCTGATGACCTTGGGAAAGCAGCAGAAGATGGCCCAAGTGCTTGGGCCCCTGTATCCACATGGGAGACCTGGAAGAAGCTCCTGGCTCTGGCCGGGCCCAGCCCTGGATACTGCAGCCATTTGGGGAGGGAACCAGCAGACAGAAGGCTTCTCTTTCTCTCTCATCCCACTTCTGTCACTCTGCCTCTCAAATAATTAAAAAAATAAATCTTAAAAACATTTTTTTAGGGGTTGGCCTGTGGAGTGGCAGGTTAAGCCACCGCCTGCGATGCCGGCATCCAAAATGGGCACTGGGCTGTGTCCTGGCTGCTCCACTTCTGATCCAGCTCCCTGCGAATGCACCTGGGAAAGCAGCGGAAGACGGCCCGAGTGCTTGGACCCTGCACCCATGTGGGAGACCCAGATGAAGCTCTTTGGCTCCTGACTTCCGCCTGGCCCAGTCCTGACCGTTGCAGCCTTTTGGGGAGGGAACCAGTGGAAGATCTTTCTCTTTCCCCATCTCCCTCTGTAACTCTGCCTTTCAAACAAAATAAATAATTTGTAAAAAGGCTAGTTTATTTGAAAGGCAGAGTTACAGTGAGAGACAGGGAGAGAGAGAGCTTTCTCGTCCGCTGGTTCACTCCCCAAATGGCCACAATGGCCGGAAGTGAGCCAGTCTGAAGCCAGGAGCCAGGAGCTTCTTCTGGGTCTCCCATGTGGGTGCAGGGGTGCAAGCACTCGGGCCGTCTTCCACTGCTTTCCCAAGCACATTAGCCGGGAGCTGGACGGGAAGTGGAGCAGCCGGGATTCGAACCAGTGCCCATATGGGATTCCAGCATCACAGGCGATGGCTTTACCTGATACGCCACAGCACTAGCTCCTAAACAAATCTTCAAAAGAAATTTGCTTTAAATGGGTGGCGGCCATAGCCCTTGTCGTGAGGACGGAGGGGAAGGCCCGGCTCCCCCCGGGCCCCTCACCTTCTCCCCGAAGATCCGCTGACAGATGCCGTTCTTGGCCAGCTTCTCCTTCACCTGTCGGGTGAGCTCGATGGTGTCCACCTCCTGGTACATGTAGATCTCGTACTGCTCGGGGGTCAGCGGTGGCACCGAGGGCTTGGCGGGCTTGGCCATGGGCACGAGCGGGGAGGAAGGCAGGGGGCTGTTCTGGGGCGTCTCGCTGCGGCTGGCCCCGGTCACGCTCAGCTCCGAGCTCTGTGAGTAGGGGGACTCGGCGCTGGGCCACTCCTTCCAGTACTCCGAGGACGGGGGTCCCTGCGGGTGGCAGCGCTCGCTCCGCGGCTGGCTGCTGCCCGCCTTTTCCTTCCCGCCCCCGCCGCCAGCTTCCTCGGCCTTGGCGTCCTCGGCGGAGGCGGGGGTCCGGCGCTCGGGCTGCACGGCGCCCCACCAGTGGTCCTTCCAGGCCCCGCTCTTCATGTGCCGCAGGACCCCCTGCCCAGCGTCCGCTGCTCCCTGGGGGTCCAGCCCGGGGCCCTCCTGGGCCTCCTTCTTGAGGGCCGGGGGGTTGGGCAGAGCCGAGGCGCCGGCCTCGGGGGCCGCCGGAGGCTTCTTTAGGGAGATGGCGAGAGGAGCGTAGCTGGACGCGGCCGCCATGGGCGAGGCAGACAGCAGCTTGGGGGTGAGCAGGGCGAGGTCGGGCTGCGGCAGCGGGGTGGGCTTCACGGGGGGCTCCAGGGCGGCCTGCTGGGCCTCCATCTCCCGGCGGGCTTGCTGCAGGATGGAGCGGATGGCGTCGTCTGAGCTCCCACTGCTGGGCGCCGAGGATGACGGGGCCGGCTCCGCTGCATGGGGCAAACGCAGGGGTGAGACGGGCGGGCACGCAGAGCGACCTCACCCCACCTGCCCAGCCAGCAAGGAGGGCGGCAGCCCGCCCCTCCCTGCCAGGCGTCTTGCTGAGCGGTGAGGACAGAGACTGCTATCCGCCTGGGGGCCTGTCACACACCAGCTGGGACACGCCCTCCAGGCTGTCTGCCAGGACTTCAGACCCTGACCTCCACGAATAACCGCAAGACACGATGTGCACATGTACCCAACACACGTGTGCAGTTCCTACTCTTCAGTTAAAGAAAGCAACAGCCGGGAAAGGCGCTGGGGCGCCAGCATCCCACGGGGGTGCCAGTTTGTGTCCTGGCTGCTCCACTTCTGGTCCAGCTCCCTGCTGGTGGCCTGGGAAGGGCTGTGGAAGACGGCCCGGGGTACTTGGGCCCCTGTCACCCAGGTGGGAGACCTGGAGGAGGCTCCTGGCTCCTTTGGTTTCGGCCTGGCCCAGCCCATGCTGTTACCGGCATTTGGGGAGTGAACCAGTAGATGGAAGATCTCTCTCTCTCTTTGTGTAATTCTGACTTTCAAATCAATCAATCAATCAATCAATCTTAAAAGCAAAACAAAAAACAGCAACAAGAGGCCCGGGCCCTGTCTCTGGCGCTGGGCTGAGGGGCTGGGCGAGTGCAGGACACTGCGGGGGTCTCGCGCCTTCCTGGCTCTGTCTCACGTCCCCCACATCACACGCCTCGGTGGTGGTGGTGGGGGGGGGGGTTCAGAGAAGTGGGCTTTTTTTTTTTCTTTTTTTAACTACATTAAAGGATGCTGAAAAATGCCCCAAACAAGAGCCACAGCCTTTACGACTTCTCGAGGGCCCTGCCTGGCTCATGAAGCCCCGACGGCATCCCCAGGAAGGAACCAGGCAGCGAAGGGAGTGACGGCCCCAGGCGGTCCCTGCTGCGGCTGCCCGTGCCTGCCTCTAGCCAGCGCCAGCAAGAACCAACCAGTCTGGAGGCTCCGTCGTCCACCAGGCTCGAGACGCCACAGGGATGACGTCCCACTGCTCGGGACCCCGGGAAGGGGGGGCTGGGCCGCGAGATGGGGCTGGGCCACGAGATGGGGGCCTGGGGTTTCCTATGCTGAAAGCATCTAGCAAGTGTCTTAGCTCTGGGGCTGAGCTGCCATCAGGAACACCAGGCCCAAGCAGCCTCTCTCCGGGTTACAAGGGCTCAGCTGAGCACCATCAGGAGGGCGGCGACGCCCAGCCCGGAGGACTCAGCCCCACCCGCACTGCGTGAGCCAGTGGGGTGGTGCCCGGGCTCAGCAGTCAGGCTGCCTGCCGCTGGGCCAGGTGTCCCAGGACGGGGCTTTGCAGGTGGGAGGCAGCGTGGGCGCCATGTTGAAGCTGGGAAAGCAGACTGATGGCGGCTGGAGCTCCTTTCCCGGGACCGCCAGTGCAGGCAGAGGGACGATGACCCCTTCCTCTCAGCTCTGCGCCCACAGGAGACGCCCGCCCTGCTGGGCCCCGGGGGGCTCCTGCGAGCAGCCGCAGGGCACTTCTGTCCTGCTTCTGTCCTGTCTCTCTTCAGTCTCATCGGGCTGAGGGGGAGGACCACCAGGTAGCAAAGGCCCGGGGCACACTGGGAGAAGGCTGGGAATAGCGCTTGCTGACTTAGGTTCAGGGGATTCCAGGGTAGGGACTGCTGACCATTAGTGAAACAACGCATCACACAGACCCAGGCTCTCTGCCTGGGCCCAGACGCTCCATAAACCCATCCTCTACGGAAAACAAGACCGCTGGGCAGCCGCGGCCCATGACGACGGAGCGGGGGAGGAGGTGGCGGCCGTACCAGTTTTCTGCACCTGCAGCTCCCGCTTGGCCTGTTCCAGGATGGACTTGATGGCTTCGTCGGAACCAGTCTCCGAGGCTCGGATCCGGGTGGTGATGTTCCCTGCGGGGAGAAGTCACGGCGATGACCTCAAACCCAAACCTGGCCCAGGAACCGCAAGCAGACGTCACTGTGGCCGAGAGCCCTGGGTCGGGGCTGCAGGGAGGAGGTGGGTGTGGCCTCCTGCTGGCTTCTCCCAGTGGCTTCGTACCAGGGAAGGGCAAATCGCTCAACCCGGCAGAAGACGGCACGGACGCTTAAAAGGCACTGATCTCCAGGAGTCATTTAAGAGGAGCTCCAAGCACTGCTCCGGCTCCGTGCACCCACGGGAGGCCGGGCGCCCAGACCGGGGACCCGGAGGGGCAGCAAAGCGAAGAGCCGGGGCTCCTTATCTGTCACTCATTCAGCCGCATGGGGGGAGGGGGCACAAGGCTTCCCTTAAAACGTGCGGGTCCGTTGCCACCTCCTGTCTTTTAGACATCTACGAACAAGGGAGAGAAGCCCGCAGGAATTCCTCAAAACCGGAACGCGTTCTTACAGCCACGTGGTAACCAAGCCTTACAGATCAGCCACACATGCGTGGGGACGCACGGCAGCCACGGCGGCCCGGGGGCTGGAAGCCATCCAGGTGTTTCAGTTTCTCACTGCCTTGCTAAATAAGATCTGCCACATGACGCCACTTAGATCAAGTCCACCACGGAGCCGGGCGGCGGCCCCTGCGGGGGGGGGGGGGGGGGCATGGATTCCATACGGGGGAGGGCGGGGGGACTTTCACACGTTTGTTAGGAGAACGAGGAAGCGGTGGTATCTGCTTTCACTCGGCCACCTGATTTTTCTCAGAGCAACGAGCGGTGTGCCCTCACCTGCTTCTGAGAAAAACCGGCAAAGTGTTGTAGTCAGGATCCGGATGGCTTTAGAATTTGGGCCTGGGGGGCTGCTGGGAAGGGGACACCTCGGGCGTGCTGCGCGGTCAGGAGAGCCGGGCAGCTCAGGGGGAAGGGGCTGGGCGCCCCTGGACCCGTGCCTTGTTTTATACTTACTAGCTCTGTTTTTTCATCAGGTTCCAGGCCAGAACCACACTGCACAGTTTTTAACCCAGTTACACAGCTCCAGGACATGCTGCTTCCTAGGCTACTGATTGCAAGGAAAAACGCCTGCCTGCGACATACCTTCAGACCCATTTCTTCGTTTCGGTACTTCCTGAAATAGTCTGTTCAGGCTCTGGCCTGGATTCTCTGTTGAAAAACAAGTGTGGTAAGAACAAAACAATCAGGGGACGGTGGTGTTGACGGCATGGGCTGTGTGACATGGACCTGAGCCACCTGTCGCTAAAGAAGGGCTCAGGGCTGCCTGAGACGCTCCTCCTGGCCGATTGGCCTGGAGGGCCCGCGGCTCCCCTACAGGAGGCAATCAGAGAGGGACCCGGTGGCGGCCCAGGGGGGGTCATGGGACAAGGCACTGTTTGTAAGCAGCTCGCCCGCCAGGCTGGAACGAACGCACAGGGAATTCCCCAGAGACGCTCAGTTGCAGCGGACGCCGCCCCCGACGCTCCGGGCTCCCGGGGCACACGGGCACTGCTCTCAACTCCACGGGCGTCCGACAAAAATCACGGCTCTCTCTGCCGATTTCAAAGAGAGAAGGAGCTCCTCAAGTCACGGATGGGACTGGCTTTCTGTCTATCTTTGGATGGAAGGTGGGGCAGGGACGGCCGTTTGGCTACGACTTTCCCACTAAGGAAGTCGCCAAGGCTGCTAGGGAGGTGACCCTGGCGCGCCCCCCTCCTGTGGGGCGGCGAGAGGAGAGGTCTTGTCTCTGCTGTGCTCTCCCCCACGAGGACCGAGCTCAGCCGGTGCTGCTGCCGCTGCGGCTACGGGGCTGGACGGCACCCAAGGGCCCCTTGCAGCGTGGGGCCAGCGCCCAGGGCTGATCGGATCCGCAGACACGAACCGCGCCCGCACACAGGTTGTGCGCCACGTTAATTCCCTCCAGTCCGAGACACGCCGTGGTTACCAAGTGCAAGGTGCTGGGCCAGTTTCGAAGGCCAGGTCTCCCACACCTAACCACTTAGCTCACTCTGGACATGGTGGCACCGGACAGAACCGTCATCTGATGTGATGCGCAGATGTCTCGTCACACGCACGCACGCACGCACGCTCACGCACGCACGCACGCACGCGCCGGCGCCGGGCCGCGGCCGCCCCTCACCTCTCTGTCTGCCTTGGATGCTACGGAGAGCCAAGATGTTCTGCTCGTCCGACAGGAACTGCTTCATCTTGTGGAATGGCTCCTTGCCGCGCACGGTCAGCTTGTTCCAGGGCTTGGGCCGGGCCAGGATCTCGCTCACGGAGCCCTGCGACAGTCCCAGGACGTAGTGGCCGAAAATGCGCTGTCCAATATTGTGCTTGATGAGCTGCTCTTTGACCTGCCGGGCGATTTCCGCAGTGTCTATCTCCTCGCCCTCGGAGGCGCTGCCAGCACTTTCTGACTGGCTGGGGGACGGGGCCATGCCGTTCACGTCTGGGCTTGGCTGTAACGGACTTGGGGAAGGTATGGAGTTTGTGCTGTATGGACCTGTTGGGAAAATCACGCTTGTGCTTCCTGCTTCCTGCATGGCCTTGGAGTAGAAGGACTGCATTAGCTGTCGCTGGAGGAGAGAGTTTAGTGCAAACTTTCCTGTCGAAGCCAGGGGTAGGCTGGGGCTCGCCAGGGATGAGCTGTAAAAGTCTTGACTTAACCCCGCTGGTGAGAACTGGTGTGTACCGTTAGTATTGGAAGCCTGCTCCCCCGGGTTGCGGGGCAACTGGGAAGGAGGGGAGGCCGGCAAAGGTCCCGGGCGCCGACTCTCAGTCTGGTCTTTCCCTTTTCTCCTGGCTGACCCTACAAGGAAGGGCAAACAGAATGCATTATGGGGGATTCCAAAGGGAAAAAAAACCAAGACCAAAATGCAAAGTGTGCCCCACGGAAGGGAATGACGAAAAAAAAAAAGTGCGGATTGTCCCAGGGCCAATGCGGTGTGTTGGTTTGTTTTTCGATTGAATTTGTTCAGTCAGCCAAACGAGGCCTCCCCTACACCAGCCACATGCATTCATGTTTGCACCTTGCTTGTACGTTGCAGCCTGGAGAATCCCCCTTGACAAAGACTCAAACTCCTAGGGTGAGTGACAAGGAGCCGGTGACACACACAGGAGGGGGTCGGCAGGTGGCGGGCCCCGCCCAAGGAGCAGCAAACACTGACACTCTGGGACTCGTGCGTTCTCTCCCACCACTTGCTCCCAAGGCGCAGGCACCGCACCGAGTCCGCACGATCGAAGGCGCGCACGTGTTAAGACGGCAACATCATCAGAGCCCGAGACACCTGCCCGCGGTTTATCAGCGGCCAAACCCCGAAGCACAGTCAGTGAGTGACGCCACCCTTTCGGGACGAGCACGGAGAGGCTAAGGTCGGGCACGCGGGCCCCCGGAAACACACAGCCAGCGGGAGGCGGCATGGAGCCTGCCCCTGGCCCGTCTGCGCGCAACTAGGACAAGATCGGAAAAGCCACACCATCCTCCGGCCGCCGCCTGCCCGCGGGCGCGCCGGCTGCACTGCCCCTCGCGCGCCCCTCGCTCGCCGACCGACCTCCGCAGACTTGCTGCGGCGCACACATCTCGTCGCCGGGTTTCAGCAGGGCGGGCGGGTGGGGGCAGCAGTGAGGAGGAGGAGAAGGAGGAGGAGGAGGAGGAGGAGGAGGAGGAGGAGGAGGAGGAGGAGGACCAGACGCTCGTTAGTCAAGGCGCTCGGTCACGGCGACGCTCCCGCCATGCATCTGCCCACACTCACGGTTCGTCTTCCTCTGCCGCGGACCCCCGGAAGCGAACTGAGCCCCACGCGCGGGCCCCTGTGCACCTACCGCTGAGGTCGCTGTTGGAGCTGCGCAGGGCGGCGTTCTCCGACTGCAGCGACCGGTTCTTCTCCAGTAGCAGCACCTCCAGGGGCTTGGCCGAGTCCTGCGCGGGGCAGAGCCGGGTTCACTGCGGGCCCTGCCGCCCGCGCCCCGCCCCCAGCCCTTCCGTCTGACACTGGGGCTCCAGCTGCAAAGCTTTCAGGCGCCCGATGAAACTGTTTTTTTTTTTTAACTTCTCTGACTCCTCACATACCTTCTCTATCATGTCCCCAAACTCAGGCAGTCTCACGTCGGCACCCCACGTGGACGCCGGGACCGGCTGCTGCGCCACCAGCCCCCACCGCCCCGTGACATGCCTTCAACCAGTGACCAGCTGGCCGGTGACTGGTCACCCTGCCCCGTGCCTTCTCAGGACCTGCCCAAGCTGTTCCCGCTCCCACCAGAACCGAGCTGCCACTTTGGGACACACTGCTCTGCTCCCGCTGGGTTTTTCAACGTGCGCAGAGACCCCCCCCCCCCCCCCCCGCCAGGGCTGCCAGCATGGAACGCGTACCTGGGTCCCGGCTCCCTCCGAGGGTGCAAACTCCATGGACTTGAGGATGCTGAAAGAGGAAGACACAGTGGTTACTCCCCCCTTGGACCCCTCGCCACCAGCCATGCTGCGAAGCATGAACATGAAGGCTTCCTGCTCTCCGGGGAACTGAGGGGCTGACAACTCAGACTCCCCTGGCAGCAGCGCGATCTGACAATGTCTCGGGAGTAGCTGGTATGCAGCGAGCAGTTGGCTAGCAAAGTTGCCTGGCCAGCATGTAAATCAGTCCATATGGACTCGCACCAGCTCTGCGCAGAGCCGAGCTGTAGAGCTGAACACAGACATAACACTGCTGCGAGTGGGATGCGTGTGCACAGCTTGGGGGGATGAGAAAGGGCGGCCAGGAAGCCACGGAGACGGGAGCTCCCCACGCCCCGGCACCCACTTGGGGACGAGGGGAGCCGGGCACGGGGCAGCGTCCCACCTCGATGGCTCCCACAGCCTTGGGTGGGGGGAGGGGAGGACGCTCTCTACTCTGTCCCAGGCACTCAGGTCTCCCACGGCCTGAGCAAGGGCAGGAGTGGAGTGAGCCCCGCCCCCCAGAAAGTGCTGTTCCCCCACTCCTTCGCTCCTTCGGCTGTGACCTCTTTCCTCCCGTCAGTCTACCGGGAGGAGAGGGGGAAGGCGGGGCTGTGTGGCTGTAAGGAACCACCAGCGTTCCTTTCCGGGTCCCCGCGGGGAGCAGCCAGGCAGGGGGCTGCAGCGTGGAGCTTTATAAATCGGGGGCCCCAAGTGGACCTTCCCAGCGCTCTTGTGGCTTGGCCGGAGTGTCCAGCCACCACGACGTGTGGAAAGAGCCATCCCAGGAGGTCGGTGGCCATCCTTTGTCCCCCCCCCCCCCCCCCCATGCTGATCAGAACCATGCCTTATGACATGAACGAACACAGAGGGACGGAGGGGCCTGGAGGAGGGTGAGCCGAGCCACGCTGGTGTGTGTTGGGGACCGGGCAATACCGCTCGGGACATGAGCTTGCTCCCCTGTCTGTCGCCTGTTTGAGGTGTCCTTTAGTGTGTCTGGATAGATAAAAATGCATCTCCTTGTCCGGCCGTGAGAGATGCAGGCCCTCACAGGACAAAACCCCCATGGGCCCTGCTGCGCACTGCTTGCCAGACCTGGCCTCAGCTCCTGGGGAGGAGGGGGAGGAGGGGGAAGAGGGGGAGGAGGGGGAAGGCAGGACCAAGGCCCAGGGCCCAGGGCAGGGGTTCTGGCCCAGGCCTTCATGCCAGTTCTTTAATCTCAAAACCCAAAGACCCAATTTCCTCTTCTCTTTGAAGGGAAACCAGGAAAAGGAAGGGAGGTTGGGCGGGGCGGCAGGCGCAGGTCCATCGGGTAGAACCCAACGTCCCCGAGTGGGCAGTGGGCTGGGGGTGAGCGGAGCTCAGGGAGGCCTGGGGGCTGAGCCTGTGCAGGGGCAGAACACGGAGGGGACAGTGGAGCCCCCTCCCCAGGGGAGCCAGAGGAGGGGTCCGAGGGAAGAGCATGGGGAGCGGGGTGAGCTCATCTCACTAGACAGGGAGAGTGGCTGTGGGACGCAGGGGATGGCAGGGGAGGAGAGGTAGAGGTGGGGGAGGCAGAGCCCGAGACCAGAGGGGGCACTCTGCAGACAGCCGGGTGGGTGCGAATGACGAAGAGGCGCTGGAGTACGGGTGCTGGCAGGGCCCGTTGGTGCACTGCAGCTGCTTCCTCGAATGGAGGGGAATGGCAAGCCGAGACTGGGACTGGCAAGGCAGAAGGTCAAGGGCGGCCGTGTGCAGGGCGGGGCAGCGGGCCTGGGGAGCCAGGCAGACACCAGGGCCTGGAGGCGGGAGGGCCAGGCCGGGAGCTGGGCCCGGGAAGCCTGAGAATGTGAGCGCTGGCACTGCAGGGACAATCCGGGAGGACGGGGCTGGAAGGAGGTGGCGGCGGCCGCTGTGGGTTGGGGGACTGCCAGCTGGACGCCGAGCTCAGAGTTTATGATCTGGGTAGGGGGCAGCTTCCCTGGCTCTGTGCACACTGGGATACTTTCAATGCACAGTTCCATAAAAAGTCCCAAGCATTCTGCGACAGGCCTGAGTGCAAGTGCCCACGGCACGGCCGAGCCAGGACCCCGGCCCATTTGCCAGCAGGTGGCCCCGGGAGCCCCGGTGTGCATAGGGCAGTGGACAGCTCCATACTCACTTCAGCTCTTTCTTCACCTCTTCATAGTCAGCCTGGCCTTTGAGTTTTTCTTCCAGTTGCTGCAAACAGACGGGAACCTTGTGAGTGGCTGCGAGTGACCACAGGGCGGTGGACTGTGCTGACTTCTCTCCCTGCACGCAGCCCACTGTGCCGGACAGGGCAAGCACACCGGCACCCCCGGCGGCCAGCACCATCAGCTCGGGTCTGGCAAGACACACACACACACACACACACACACACACACACACACACACACGGCTACCCAACAAGATGACCACAGAAGGAAAACACTTTCCACGCTGGCAAACAGAATAAGGAACTGTCCATTCTGTGTGAAATACCACGGAGCAGCCCACAGAAGGGAAGGGGAGATCTCTCGGCATTTCAAAAGCAGAGTGCCGTTTTGCACAAAAATGTTGGCTGGCCAAGCTGGCTGGTGGCCTGAGACTGCTTTGGTGGGAGCCCTGTGAACCAGAGACGCAACCGCCTTGTGGTGGAGACTCCCAGCTACCGGGCATCAGGGAAAGAGAACGCACAGGCGGGCACCCCTGGATGGCAGGGTCCCAGGAGTACGGTTCCTGGATGCCCTCCCTGCTAGGAAGGCCTGGCCTCGGGCTTCTGCAGGCACAGGGAACTCCGACCACCCCCGAGGGCCCTGGGGGCACCACCCGGCACGTTTCCAAAGCACGAAGACGCTCTGAGATGCCCCAGCTGAGCGTGGGGCTCCCCGGGGACCTGTGAGGTGGCCCTGCCCGTGGCTTGCCAGGACTGGCTGGCTTCCTGCTAGGAGGCTATAGGGACCAGTTTGCTTCTGACTTCCCCCACAGGGAGCCCCCTGGGGAAAAGGAGGCAGCCCAATGTGGACTACAGAGAGCCGGGGAGGCCCTGGCAGCCAGTATGCTTTCAAGCCACAGGGGACAAAGGGCTTCCCAGGTGCCTTCCTGGGCTCTGCTTGACCAGGGCAACTGAGACCACAGTTTCAAGTCGGCTGAGAACATTCTAGAGTCTCGGGGAGAGACGCCCGCCTGGCCCACTGGCCTCAGGGCTTATGTGAACCCAGACTGCCTGCTCTGTGAAGGCGAGTGGCACTTGTCCTCCATCTCACCTCTTGCCAACTTTCTATAGGATGATGTTTTCTCGGTCATAGTCAAACGGGGGAGGTGGGGGGAGCAGGCACTTGGCTTTCCTGTGAAAGATTCTCACGAGACGCTCGTCCAGAGTGGCTTTACCTCATTCTCCTCCCTGCGGTCAGACAGCAGGAAGCACCAATGCACAGGCCTCCCTCACAAAGCAGAGGCCCCGCGCTGCTGGGGCGCAAAGCAACACGGGGAGGACCTCAGAGCCTGGTGTGGCACTGCCAAGGGCCTGAGCCCACGGACCCCACTGGTCACTCAGAACTGGGAACCCTGGAGCAACTTAACAGACTTCTCATTTGCAAAATGCAGTCACTGTGAGGCTGCACAAAGCAGAGGATGGCCATGGATGGCTTTCTCCAGAGAGGTTACAAAAGGCCAGGTGTGGGGCCAGGCCGGTGCTGTGGCACAGCGGGTTAACGCCCTGGCCTGAAGCGCTGGCATCCCATATGGGCGCCGGTTCGAGTACCAGCTCCTCCACTTCTGATCCAGCTCTCTGCTATGGCCTGGGGAAGCAGTAGAAGATGACCCAAGTCCTTGGGCCCCTGCACCCGCGTGGGAGACCCGGAAGAAGCTCCTGGCTCCTGGCTTCGGATCAGCCCGCTCCAGCTATTGTGGCCAGTTGGGGAGTGAACCATTGGATGGTTTGTTCTCTCTCTCTCTCTGCCTCTCCTCTCTCTGTGTAACTTTCAAATAAATAAATAAATCTTTAAAAAACAAACAAAATAACAAAAGGCCAAGTGTTAGAGGCCTGGCTCCCAGCCCTCTCCTGGCCTGGCTGGCCGAGAACTTGATGGTGGGCTTAGCCTGACGGGGTCTCACGTCACTCATCTGAGAAATGGGGAGATTCAGAACTGATAGAGAGTTTCTAAAGACAGTGGTGGGGACGTGCGTGGGCAGGTGGGAGCTGCCACCCACCCCTGGAGGAGAGCCCAGCAGGTGCCCCCCAGCTGCTGTCTGAACTAGGACAAGGATGACCTATTTGGAGCTCTTAACATCTTGGCCAAGTTAATACAGACATTTAATTTAAACGCCACGTCTTAGGGGCAGGTGTCTGCTCTAGTGGTTAAGACATTCGCATCCGGGGCTGGAGTCACAGTGCAGGTTAGGCTGCCAATTAAGACACCAGCATCCCATATCAGAGTGCTGGTCTGGGTTCTGGCAGCTCCACCTCCGATCCGGCCCCCTGCTGATGCGCCTGGGAAAGCAGTGGAAGACGGCCCAAGTGCCTGGGCCCCGGCCACCTGCATGGGAGACCTGGAGGAGTTCCTGGCTTGGGACTTCAGCCTGGCCCAACCCTGACTGTTGTGGCCATTTTAGGGGATTGAACCAGCAGACGGAAGACTCTCCTTTCTCTCCCCTCTCTGTCTTTACAAAAAGACCTGCAGTCCACATTGGAGCGCCTGGCTTCAACTCCCAACATCCAGCTTGGGCTCCTGACTCCATTTCCTGCTAATGCAGACCCTGGGAGGCACCAGGCGACAGCCCCCATCGATGGGTCCCTGCCACCCATGTGGGAGGCCTGGACCGAGTTCCTGGCTGCTGGCTTTGGTCTGGCCCTGCTCTGGCTGTTATAGGAGCTTGGGGGGGAAAGAACCAGTCGGTAGATGAAAGTTCTGTCTGTCTCAAAAAAGTAATCAGGCATACGGCAATCAGGCAGTCAACTTACGAAAACACCAGCAGAAAGTCCTCGGTGCCCTCGGGCCACCAGCAAAGGGGCCTCTGTGTGTGGGACAGACAGAGAGCTTTGGCCAGTCTGCACCTCCTGGGACAGGCCATGGGGACCGAGGGTACCTGCTGTGCAGGCGGACAGAGTCGGGCTCTCATTGCTGAGGCCCCGGGGCGCAGGCTGTGGACTTCCCAGCCTGAGGGGCGTTATCTCGGGGTCCAGGTTGAGGCAGCACCCACCCTCCTGTTTGCTGTCTCGGAAGGCCAGACGGGGGAGGAGAACGAGGGTCATTTTGGAGGGGCTCTTCTCCCTAAACGCAGGGTCCTGGCCCCAACACGGACCATGAGCTGGATGGCAAAGGCTCAGGAGGTTGGCTCTGACTGGCCAGCGTGCCACAGGCCACCTCTGATGGCAGGTGCCGTGACCCTGGTGTGACCGGGCACAGGGTAGACGGCTTATATGCAGGCCACTTGCACACTGCACGTCCCAGTGAGCAAAGAGCACCGTACACTGGGATGCGTCTGGGTGCGAACCACCAGGGCAGAATCGGTCGCCAGGCATCCTCCCAGTCTCACCAGCTGGCTGCTGTGAACTGACAACAACCCCATCATAGCTCCCCCTGCTGGCCGGAGGCTGCTCCAACCCGGAGGAGTACTCAGGAAAAGGCTCCCTGGGGCTGTCCACCAGGGCCTCTGCCTCTGCACCAGGGCCACGCTTGCCTTCCCCCAGTCTCTTCCGCTCTTGCAATCGGTGCTCACAGCCCCTTCGGGACCCAGCCAGGACAGTGCCGGGGCAGCCTTGTGCCCTGGGCTCTCCGGGATCTGGGACATTTGTCGTTATAGCTTGCTGGCGCCAGGCAGGCCAAGCTCCCTGCTCACCTGCCTGCTGGCTCCCACGAGGGGGGGAGGGGGACTCAGGTGCCGGCCCAGGGGCTGCACACACCCGGGCAGACCTGCTCCGCGGAGGACGCCCACCATCCCGCCCACCCACACAGCGAGTGCAGAGTGGGGTATGGAGGCGAGAGCTGAGCTGAGCCCTGGTGCAGGGTAAATGGGAGAGGGGCGGCAGGCTCAGACCACGCTGCTAGCGTGGGCGCTTACGTAACCCACGAGGCTGGGCAAGAGGCACTGAATAAGTCTAGAGCAGCGGGTTTGTCAGTTTTCCTGCCCTGTGCCGAGGGACACGGCCCCCTCCCGCGGTGGGGAGAGGGGGTGTGATGTGTGGAAGCACGCGCAGTTTGGAAGACGACCCCCAGGCGACGCTGACACCCGTGCCCAGCCACCCAGCAGGAAGCGCTGATCTTCAAAGCATCAAAGCATCTTCAGGAAAACATAATTTCTCCCCTGGGAGCCTGGTGCTCTCTGGGCTAGCCTGCCTTAGAAACACCGTTCTTAAATGGAAGCTACCGGCAGCTGCATTTTCTGTGCGACCGGGAGTACAGTGCAGGTGATGCCCAATTGCACCGCCAGAAAACCAGAGCCGAGTTATCAAAAGCAGCAGCCTTGTCATGGCAGTCGGGTTATTTCATTCATTACGAATAGGGGCTTATCTCTACAAGCGGTGCTATGCCTGGGGACCTGTGGGGGTCCGGAGCCTGCTCTGACAGCGTTTTAAAGGGTGCACCGGAAGCGAGCGCTCACCGCGAACCTGGCTCGGAGAAGCAGAACCCCGGCTGGCCGTGGGGGACTGGGGACCATGCAGCGGGGAGCCCGTCCTTGCACAAGGGCAGGTCAGAGAACTGAGCGCAGTGGGGAGACCTTGGTGGCCAAAAGAGGGAGCATTTCAGAGTGGGAGCGGCAAGCCAGCAGATCTGACTCTGGAGAGAAAGGTCAGGATTCCCCCAGATGGGAGGTGCCCTTTCCCCAAGGCACCGTCATCAAATGCACTGACGTCACAGAGATCAAGGGTTCATGGCAAAACCATCCATGGCCCGTTCGTAGGATGCTTGCCTGGTAACTGTGCTCCTACTTAGATCTGAGGCGGTGCCACAGGCACTAAGGAAAAAACAGAAAAAGCCCCACCACGGTATCTCGTTCAAGTCACCTTCTTCCTCCTTGGGCGCAGGCCGGGAGGCTGCGCACGGCTGGGCAGGTCCACGCCTGCCGTGTGTGGGACGGGCGTGGGAGACCTTGGCTCCCGGCGACAAGGGGTTAAGGTAATTAGGACCGGAGAGGTCTCGTTACTAGAGGACATGTTTTGATTATGAGATCAGATGAAGATAAGGGAGCAATAATTTTGGGCACAGCAGTGCCGGATTGTTTCATTAAGCACGCTGTATTAAAGAATTCCCCCCAGATACGGGTAAAGGACATTAATTTGTGAAACTGCATTTCATTGTTTGGTGCAGGCAAACATTAAAACCTTAACTGATCTGGAAGAAACCGCTTTATAGTCACAAATGCCAGGCCCACGGGCTCCGTCTCTGGCAGCTGCAGGTGCGCGGGGTGTGTGAGCCACGCCCCCATAGCTGTGACGAACAGAAAGGCGTTAGCCACTAATAATGCCCTCATCAGGGTCAGGAACGGCTACGGTGTGAGGAAATCTCCAAGTGGAAAAATGACTCCCGCACTCCTCGGGCAAGTTGGTGGGAGGGTAACACCTGCTGGAACTGATGAAGGATGTGAGCAGGTCCCCAGGCTCCCCAGGGCCTTCTGCTCACGGAGGCCTGGGCACCCAGCACCGTCTCAGGGAGTGGATGAACTCCAGAGAGGCAGAGAGGAAGCCAGCAAGGGAGCCGCGTGGGGGCTGCTGTGTCCGTGCCGGGCCTCCTGGAAACCGAGTGCTGGCTAAAACTTAGCCAGGAGTCAAGAAGAACATGGTGTTGGCATCGTGGCGCAGCGGGTAAAGCCACCACCTGTGACTCTGGCATCCCATGTGGGCGCCAGCCCAAGTCCTGGCTGCTCCACTTCCAATCCAGCTCCCTGCTAACGTGCCTGGGAAAGCAGCGGAAGATGGACCAAGTGCTTTGACCCCTGCCACCCACATGGGAGACCCAGATGAAGCTCCTGGCTTCAGCTTGGGCCAGTGCTGGCCATAGTGGCCATCTGGGGAGAGAACCAATGAGTGGAAGATATCCTCTTTCTGTTGGTCTACCTTTAAAGAAACAAAAATTCAAGGGACTATATGCAGGAGGTCTTCCAAAAGTTCATGTAAAATATGTATTATGAAAAAACTATTTGGGGCCTGTGTTGTGGTGTGGCAGGTAAAGCTGCGACCTGGGATGCCGGCAGCTCACATGGGTGCAGGTTCGAGTCCTGGCTGCTCTGCTTCCGATGCAGCTCCCTGCTAACAGCCTGGGAAAGCAGCGGAAGATGGCCCAAGTGCTTGGGCCCCTGCAACCCACACAGGAGACCAAGATGAAGCTCCTGGCTCCTGGCTTTGGCTTGGCCCAATGCTGGCCATAGCAGCCACCTGGGGAGTGCATCAGAGGACGGAGCATCTCCCTTTCTCTCTGTAATTCTGGTTTTCAAAATAAATAAGTAAATGTTAGAATTTTTCAGGTTTTTTAAAATCAAAGTGGGCCAAATTAAATTCTGGAATCACTTGGTATAAAAAGCTTCCTTCACTGTGGTTCCCTTCAGATTTTCACAGCTCCTTCAATGTGCTTTGCTGAGCAGGTGATGGACACTCCCCACCATGGCTCGCTCATCTGTCCACTTGGGCGCTCAGCTAGCAGCCGGCGGGCAGGGGCAAGGGGCCTTGTATGCGTGCCCTGGGGCTCACAGGGGACCCTCCGTTGGCCCTGTCCCCTCACGAACCAGGCCTAGGTCTCCTGGCTCGGACAACCACGAACCCAGTGTTCCCATGCAGTTGACCCAGGGTTCCCGTGCGGTTTTCCCATCTGCACTCGCGTCGACAGATGACACGTGCCCGAAAGACTAATCGCTAGTGTGGGGTGTGCGCACAGGCACACTGCGCTGCTTGGCGGCTCCACGTGGGAGGGGAGGGGAGGCGAGGGGAGGGGAGGCGAGGGGAGGGGAGGGGCTGGAGCCCTCGGCTGCAGCACAGGCCCGAGAATGAGGTGCTGGACAAAGGGACATCCCTCAGCGCTGGGGTCATCTGGGCTCTCCTCTGGGGTCGGGGCGTGGCGCAGGCAGGTGTGTGCGGACCACCCGCCTCTGACACGGGAGCACCTGGGTCAGGCCCAGCTCTGGCTCCCGACTCCAGCTTCCTGCCAACGAGAACCGCGGGAGGCAGCGGTGATGGCTGAGCGACTGGGTCCCTGACACCCACACGGGAGACCTGGATTGAGTTCCTGGCTCCCAGCTTTGGCCCAGAGTTTCAGGCAGCCTGGACATCTGGGGAGTGAACCGCAGGATGGGAGCAGATACATGACATGCACCCCCAAATCCGCGTCCTCGCCCGGGGCTCTGGGGCTCAGGGTGGGCGGAGGGGACGTGCGCGCCCGGCCCCCGCCCGCGCCCTTACTTTGAGTGTGCTGTTCTTGGCGCTCAGCTGCTGCTCGAGCTGGGAGATCTGGCTGGCTGAGTTCTCGCGCAGCTTGGTGAGGCTGGCCTGGAGTCGCTGCACGTCCTCTGCCAGCTGGGCCGTCTCCCGCTCCTTGGCGGCCAACTCAACTTCCAAGCTGGAGCGCGTCAGCACCTCTATGGCCTGCTCCTGGGGAGGAGAAGAGAAATGACAGAACTGCCCTGGCGCTGGGTGTGTGTGCGCGCGGGGCGGGGGCGCCGATGGAGGCAGCAACCACGCGGACTTCAGGACGCGGACGGTGAGCCCCTGGGGGAGTGCGTGCCCTCTGGACTCCGCGACCTGGCAGATCAGTGCCACCAAGTCACTGGGGCTTGTGCCCCAGCGGCCCCCTAGCCCCATGGTGAAATCCTCAGAATCAGTGTTTCCCAAAAAGAGTTAAAAGAGGTGGAAGAGGCGTTCAGTTTTTTCGTTCCTTTGCTCAGATATTCTTAAGACATCTGTCTTAAAAAAAAAAACAAAAACCCTCACTTGTCTTTCCCCCCCAAAACGTTCATTATGGAAAACACGTAAAACCGAGACAAGGGACTCAGAGAACGTCGAAGCTGTAAATCCACTCCACTTCCCAAGGACTCAAGCCGCGCCTTGTTCAAGTTCAAGTTTGAAAAGTAATCACAGCTCCCCGACATTCCGGAGGCAGGAACACTTCTGGGCTTGACTGACAGGGCTGAGGAGCCAGCGCTCCTGGGGGGCCCTGTGACGACAGCAGAGACCCGGGGGTGGGGGTTGCGCTGCAGTGTCGATGCCACATCCTCACCCTCACCCCCCCCTTTAAACACGTGGCCTCGCAGTCCTGCTGCTGCCGGGTGTGCAGCCAGGCCAGCCCGCTGTGGGGCCTGCAGATCCAGGGGCAGCGGTCACACTGTTCCCATCTCCCGCCTGGGATATTAGGGCCCTGACCCCCAAGACTGCTAGCGTTTTGTTCTTTCTGTTTCCGCGACACAGTGCGATCAGCTGGTCACTCCTCCTAAGCTCTGGGGGCATGCACGCGACCCCAGCGACCCTGGTTACAAGGCGCACGCTGCCCAGCCCAGCTCTGCCTGGCGTGTGGGGCCTGATCACGAACCGTGGCGGGGGCTGGGGAGCCCAGCACGGGCACCAAGGGCGAGGGTTCCAAAACTCTGAAGACAGCTGCCCGCTTGGGAGGCATTTCCCGTCTTACAGCACTGTCGCCTGCGAGACTGGGAATGACAAAACACTCAGTGTCCGTCACCTGCAGGAGCTGGGACGGCACCACGAGGGAGGATGCCGGCCAGCCCAGCGCCAGGAGCCCAGACCTCCGGGCTGTGAGGAGCAGGAGGCAGGGCAGGTGGAGGGGCGCCGGGGGCAGGGGGCAGGGGCGCCGGGGGCAGGGGGCAGGGAGCAGGGCTCCATTTCCGGGTGGGAGCAGGGAGAGCCTGCAGGGAGCGGGATGCCGGCTCCTGAGGGCAGGGAGGGGGAGGTGCCTGGGCTTGGAGTGGCCACAGGGGCAGGGGCTGGGGACAGGAGGACACGGCGGGAGTGAACTGTGAGACCAGGCTGACCCCCATCACCCAGTTAACTCCTCCGCCAACCTTCCATCCCGGGCGGGTGCATGTGAACGCAGCGGGGACAGACAAAAGGTTTGAGTCAGAAATCTAGAAACAGCAGCTGTCAGCGCTGGCCCTGGCCCCGAGGCCGGGGGATCTGGGGGAAGCCAGGGCTGGGAGGGCTGTCCCTGCTCAGCCCGGCGCCACACGTCGCTCACCTGTCGCACCGCCAGTGTCACTGCTGCCTGCATGAACCAAATGCCACACTATGCCCTTCAGCCCAAACTCTGGCTGCCCGGTCTCTAACACGGGGCGCTCCTGGTTGTCCTGTCACCAGGACACGACAGGGAAGGGCCCGGGAATGAGCGACGGCTGCGGGAGCGGCTGGAGTGGGGGACAGAAGTGGACCTCTCGGTGCAGAGGCTGGAGGCTGGCAGGAGGGCGCAGTCTCGAGGGGACATCCACAGGACAGAGCGAGCACGTTGGAGGGGGGCCAGACTGGAACATGGCCGCTGGAATGCCCCAGGCTCATGGCCCAGGGGACCCCCAGAGGACGGGCTCCCTCCAAGGCTCAACCCTGCGGCCTCAGAGTCAAGGTCAGGCCCCGCGGCCCCACGGCTGGGGTGATGACCCACCAGTCTGTCCCCGGGTGGAAATTCCCATGGCTCAGGCTCCCAAGCCCAGCAGGGGCGGCCCACATTCCTCACGGTGGGGTGGGGGGCTCTGGGGGCCCTGGGAGGCGTGCTCAGCAGAGCGTAAAACATGTGGAGAAGGACCGAGGGCTACAGGCGACGAGAAAACAGGTGTCACCAAGGGCGAGTTCTGCCCACTTGCCTCCCTTGCTCCAACGGGACTGCGCACTTCACCCTGAGCTGCACAACCAACCCCTGCGTCCTCCCGGGGCCACCAGACCCTGGAGGCTGACCCGCAGCATCACCGTCTCTCCTCCTGCAGCCATCTTCCTGTTACACTTGAACGAGAGGCCAGCGCCTGGGGTCTGGGCTGCTCGTGGCGGTTCTGTGGATGGCACTGGGCGAGGCGGTGAGGGGAGGGAACGGGGCCTGGTGTCACTTCTTCCCTGTCGTCACCTCTGCTTCTGCCACCACCCAGCTGGCTGGGTCCGTGGCTGTTTCCGTCTGTTTTCCACGTGACGGCCTCTCTGGGTCTAAGAAGGTGGCCGCGTGCGGTTCCCAGAGCTCTGGGCTCACATCTGTCTGCAGGCGCATCCTCAGTTTCTCCACGACGCCCAAGAGGAGGAGCAGGGCGTGGCTGGGCCGCAGGACAGGACAGACGCAGCTCCGGCTCCAGGCGGGGCACTGGGCGGGCGCCTCAGCCCCCAGCCTCAGTTTCCTTACCTGTAAAGCCGCTCTAACGCCCCCATAGTGCCTGTGGTGATGAAACACGCTCAGGGCGGGAGTTCCATGGGCCCGTTCGCCGGCTACAAGCAGCACTGCCGCCGAGACACCCAGCGCTGTCTCTCTGCCCGGTTCCGCCAGCCAAGCCCAACACACCGCTCTTCCGCTGGCCCGGTCTCCCGTGTCTGACACTCCCCGGGCGTGCAGGAATGCGTGCCGAGGGGAGTCCCGGGGCTGCTCAGGAAGACTGAACGGGTGCCAGGTAAACAGTGCACTTGAGCGATGATGAAGTGCCGTGGCAGCCTTCGCACCCACCGCTCACACTACCTGCGAAAACACTCATTTCCTCTTCTAGCGTTTGGGTTCCTGCAGCGCGGGATGGTGCCAGAATTCTGTTCAGTCCAAACGCGGTGCTCAGCGGCCCTGTGTGCGCAGGCGCAAATGCAAGGCTCCCTCCGTGGGTCCAGGGAAGCCACTGACCCCGGTCCTGAGGGCTTCCTCCTGCCTCGGCCCTGTCCACCTTACACTCTGCCAAGGGGCCGGGATTGGAGCCAAGGGGCCATTTCAGATAAAACCAGGCACCAGAGTCCTTGAGTGCGAAGGATGTGACGGCCCCTTAAGTAGACATCTTTCCTCTCCGTCCTCAGACACTTCAATCCCCTCGTGTTTCAGGTGGAAGGAAGAAGACGAAAGCCCACTCTTGAAAGGGGGTCCTGGGGCAGGCATTTCACCCGGCGGCTGAGACGGCAGCAGGTGCCCGCATCCTGGGTGTCATACCTCGCTCAGAGTCCCGACCCCAGCTTCGCGCCAGGGCAGACCCTGGGAGGCGGTGGTGACGGCTCAAGCGACTGGGTCTCTGCCACTCACACGGGAGCCCTGGGTTGAGTTCCTGCTCCTGGCTTCAGCCCCCAGCCGCCGCAGGCATTTGGGGACTGAACCAATGCATGGGAGCTATCGGTCTATCTGTGTCTCACAAATAAATATCTACATTTGAAATTAATGAAAGAAAGTGTGTGTTGGGGGGCGGGGTTTAGCCACCGACACTTTGTTCTAGATTCACTCCTGGGGAATAATTTCAAAGCCTTGGCCTGGGGTTGGTAAGGCCCACTCGGGTCTGGCCCAGCTGTGGGCTCCTGTGCCATGGGGCAGGTGTTTGGGTTCCGGGAGCCTCTGCGTTCTCATCCACATGAAAGGATCCCGTAGAATAACAGCTGTCAAGCTCACAGATGAACTCTCTCAGCGGCAAGTCTGCCCGACGAGACCGTGCTCCGTGGTTCTCCTGGGGTCCCCCTTCAGCAAGGCCCCTGGGGTCTTTGTGAAACCCCAGGACACCTGCCCCTGCCAGTGCTCCCCGGAGCTGCGGGCCTGGAAGCCGTGGGGCAACAGGCCAGGTGCCAGGCAGAGGTGGCAGCACTGAGCTTTGCCGAGGCTTCGGGCTGCACGCTCTGCTCCTAACTCCAGGGCCCCGCTTCGACAGACTTGGGAAGCTGAGCCACTTGGTCCAGGTCACCCGCAGAGAGGCCGCAGCGCTGGGGCCTGGCTTCCTGCACCACGGTCCCAGCCCCCACACTGTTCCCTGTGGTGGCACTGAGTTGAGGAGAAGCGCCCGGGAATCAGCTGTTCAAAGCCATCTTGCTCAGGCCGGCTGGGAGGGCTGTGGCCTGGAGCCGCTTCTGTGAACTCTCAGACGAGAGCTGTGCCCGGCTCTTTCTGGACAACATCCTCAGGCAAGATTCCGGCTGTCACCTGGCTCTTCACTGCCCCTGCGGCTGTCCCAAGTCCCGGTCCTCCTCCTGGAGGGACCCAGGAGGAGCGCAACACCCCACCCCCTTCCCTGCGTCACTCAGGGGCCGCCCCCGGGGACCTGCGCCCACGCCTGGCAGGCAGCCCCGGCCGGCTGGGGAAAACACTCCCTCTCTTGCCGCCTGCGTCCACCTCGGCGCCTGGCGGGTAGACGTCAGGGTGACCGTGGAGCCGGGGCACGACTGGCAGAGCGGCTCCCTGAGACTTTGACAAGTTCCAGCCCCACACTGTGACACGCACTCCCCGCCAAGCAGGCGGGACCGGTGGAAAGAGAGGAGGGGAGAGGGGAGAGGGGAGAGGCGCAGGAGGCCGGGGCTGGCGTCCTGCGGGGCCGCGGCTACCCACCACGTCCGGCGCCTTCTGGATCTGCGAGGCCAGTTGGAGAGAGTGGTTGGCCGACGAGAGCTGCTCCCGCAGGGTTTCCGCCTCTCTCTGCGCCACCTCTGCCCTCTGGAAGAAATGCAGAGGGGCGAGAGAGAAAGTGCGCTCAGCTTCACAACTGACAATTATTACGAGAACATTCATCAATTCATGCCTGACTGACGATAATTGATTTTCCTAAACACTCAACCTAATAAATGCTAGGGGAAAAAAAAACACAGAATGTGATGGATTTTTATTTTAAACAGTACAAGGAAGAAATAATTGAGCGATTATGACAGTAATTTAACGCTAGGAGCAACGAATCCCCTGCTGATACTCACGCTCCGGCCCACTGGATTTCCCAGACTGAATAAATACGAGTGGAAATAGAGTCTTTTGATTCAATTTCTTTCCTCTTCTCATAGACCAGGAAGATTTTATTGCGGGATTACTCCTGGGAGTGATTCTCACGGGCAAACAGTGAATGAGAGAGTCTGGCCGCTCGCTGTCTACGACAGGCACCATGTTGCGGCTGCTTTTCCGCACAAGTGCTTCCAGAAACGCACTGTGCCAACGCCACCCCTTCGCTAAGGGCCAGGCTTGTTTTGACATATTTAACCCTTCGCCAGACCATGTCCTGGACACGCATGCTGGCATTTGCAGCCGGCTGGGCTGGGCGCGGCTGGGGAGACTGCAGCAGTGCTGGGGGTGGCAGGAGAGGCGGGCGGACCCTTCCCATCCTTTGCCTGTGAGGAATCCACTCTCCCTCCTGCAAACCAGCACTTGCCAGTGGATGGCGAGAATGGTCACTCCCGTGCTGACCCAAGGGGGCATCCGGGAACAGAGGAGTCACCTACCACCCACAGGGAAGATGGGAACAGCACCGCTTCTCAGAGACCACGCCAGGACTCCCATCCGCGGAAGCCCGTGGCACACAGGACTCCTGCAGAAGCAGCTAAGGGGCTCGTTCTGGTTTTACAGCCACGACTGGGAGCAGTAGAGAGTAGACACCGGGCACGCGCACCACAAGGTGCCACCCGGGCTCCCCCGGGCAGAAAAGACGGGACAGGGAGAGCCTGGCAGAGTGGGTGCAGTTTTGTGACTTCTTATTTTGAGGCGTGTGACTGCCGGGAGAGAACTCCCAGAGCAACAGGAAGTGGGAGTGCCGGGACGCGCCCACCCTTCTGGCTGCAGGAGGAGGGGGCTGGCTGCACCTGCACTGCCTGCACACTGCCGGGGGCAGTTCCAAGGGCAGCCCTGTCTGCCGGGCGGGGCTGCTGGCCGCTGGCCCTCGTCCGGGGGCGCCTGGCTAGGCGTGTCTCTGCCCGACCCTCTCCTCCCAATCTCTCTGCTCTACGCAGGCCTCCAGCCACCTCTCAGGGAAGGCGGTTTCTGGCCCAGGCTAACGGCTCGACGACTCAGGCTCTCCATTGACAAGGATCTGCCCTGGTTTATGTCCAGATGGGCCAGCCCAGGTCTGTCTGCCGGCCACGCCCCCGCCTGACCCGTCTGCTCTCCTTGCTGGTCAGCTGAACCTGGGGGCCATTAAGATCCCCACCGCTCTGCCAGGAGGAAGGAGCACTTGGACATATTTCCTGGTCTCTTCGACTACCAAAGACGTTTCCTTCTTTTTTTGAATCTTACGCATTTTCATTTTTTCTGAAAGGTAGAGAGACTGGGAGAAATCTCCCATCCAACTCCAGCCTTCAGTGGCAGGATTGGGCCTGGCTGAAGCCAGGAGCCAGAAACTCCACCTGGGTCTCCCACCTGTGCCGCCACCTGCTGCCTCCCAGGGTGCGCGTCGGCAGGAAGCCGGAGCTGGGAGCAGTCAGACTCGGCCCAGCCCCTCTAATATGGGACGTTGCATCCTGAGCAGGGATTTAACTGCTGGGTCAAACGCCTGCTCAGGGAAAGGAAAAGATTCGTTGGCAGTGGCCAGCGAACTTGACCCTTCAGCTGGAGGCTGTGGGGGCCCGTGGGGCTCTCTGGGGGGCAGGGCCCAGCCTCATCCAAGGCAGATGGCTCGCAGGAGACCAGGATAAGTACCTGGCTCCTGCCATCGGATCAGCGCGGTGCGCCGGCCGCAGTGCGCTGGCCGCAGCGGCCATTGGAGGGTGAACCAACGGCAAAGGAAGACCTTTCTCTCTGTCTCTCTCTCTCACATTATCTACTCTGCCTGTCAAAAAAAAAAAAAAAAAAAGAATCGGAGACGCGTCTGCCCCTGACGATTTCACTCCCAGGCTACAGCCTCTGCACTTGTGTTCAGCCGCCAAGTTCACGGCCATGGTTGCTCTGCTGCTTACCCCTCGGTGGCTTTTTGTGTTTGGCTCGATTTAGTAACTTCACTGCCACCCTCTGTTTATGTATTTATTCAGGATTTAATCCCTGAGTGCCCCCCCAAAACACCCAGTGCCAACGAGGAGCTGGAGTGGCTCGGATGGAAAACAGAGGCCCCGGAGCAGCAAGAGGAGTGTGTGTGTGGGGGGCAGGCGTGGAGTGCAGCTGGGACGAATCAGTGCGTGGCGCTGAGAGCTGAGGCTGAGCGAGGGGTGCCCATGGGCCGGGTGAACTCCGCGGGGGTCACCTGCTTCGGGGTTCCCGTGGCTTCCTCACGACCACAATTCAGCCACAGCTGCTCTGGTGCTTCGTGGTCTGTGGCCCTCGCCACACAGCAGCTCCCTGACACCCCGGCCTGACGCCTGCAGAGGCAGAGCCGGCGGATGCACAGCCAGGCTCCTCTAGGGCGCTGATCCCTGCGGGAGCTTCGGGTCTCCAGGGGGGCTGAGGAGGGCAGCCGGACCTGTGTCCCCTTGTCTCCGCGGGATGACCAGAGACGCCCTGGCCTTGGTCCTCCCCCGAGGAAGGGCAGCAAAGCAGAGCGATGCCCACTCGGGTGTGATTGCGGGTTCCAGACCTTCAAGTCCAAACAACTCGACGTGTAAAACGCGAAGCAGCAGCGGTGGTGAGACAGACGGGAGTGGGCACCGGAGGAGCCCCGGCAGGGCCACAGGCCCCTGGGGCAGGATGGAGAGGCAGCTTCCACAGCGGGCATGGGGCAGGAACTCCCCAGGGAGGTGCCTTTCTCCTCCCCTGGAACCGAAGCTGAGGCATGGGGGGATCCTCACTGTGCGCCCTGGAGGGCAGGGCCCGGCCTCCCCGACCTGATTTACCTGGCTTTACCTTCTCCCTGGCCTTACTGGTGGTTCGGGGGTGGGCGCAGTCTCTGGCCCAATCTCCCACCCTTCTTGGTCCCCAGGTATCTGAGTCCCCTGTGTGGGTGTGGCCACGAGCCGCAGAGTGCTGCCTGTGCAGCCAAGACAGGGTTCCGGGAGACCCAGCCCAGCACATTTCCCCACCTCTGCCTGCACAAGGTCCTGACCTGGGCCGGGGGCCCCGTCTGCACATGGAGCACCCAAGGTTGCGGGAGGCCAGATGGTGGCGGCTTACGCACTGCAAGGCGCAGACTCAGCTATGGGTGGTGGGTGGGTCCTTGGCAGGGGTCATGACCCTCACTCCACAGCCCTGGGAGATGGGCGGGAAACGGCAGGCCTGGAATTCCAACTCCGGAGTCTCCACCCCAAACCCAGGCATCCTTTCCAACAGGACCCTAAACCCTGGTGGGAGGCTTTATTCCCAGCCAAGTCGCCAAGGCTCTAACCTTTACTGCTACCAATGCAGACAGTGAGGATCAACGCAAACGCCCCGAAGTTTAGCCGACAGGTGCCAGGGACGCCCCGGCTTAGCCCCAGCTGCTGCTGGCTCTCTTGCGCCTCCCCGACAGGAACAGAAGCGCGCCAGCCATGAAACAGAGCTTCAGGTCTTAGCAGAGCGTCCTGACCACAAACCCAGTGCAAAAGCAATGCTGTGTGCCCCTCTGTGCCCACCAGCACCCTCCCGCCCCCTGCCCCGGGGAGGCCCCCTCCTAGGTGAAGCCCAGGCCAGCGTCACCTTCCTGGCTGCCAGGCCTTCGCTTCCTTTCCCTCCCACCCCCGCGGGGAGCACCCAGCACTGCAGGGCTGGGGTCCTTCCTATGCAGGGGTCGTCCCCAGGGCTCACCAACGTCTCCGTGAAATTCTGAACCTCAGGTGAGAAGGGGCCCATCAGACTAACGCGCTTAATCTTCTTTCTGTCCCCTCTGCGCCTAACTCCCGGCCAGGGCTGGCTGGCATCTGCTTGCATAGCTCTGGGGACGGGGTGGGGGGCTCCCTGAGATGTGGCACTGCAGGACAGCCAGGCGGGGAAGTTTCTGATGCTGCGCATGTGTCTTCCCGCCAGCCCCACGCTTGGCCCTGGTCCTCTGGGAAAGCCCAGAGGCAGTAGACCTCAGCCCCTGGCCAGCCCGTGAGGGCTGCAGGCACACAAGTCACGAGGTCTCACCCCTGGCCTTCTCGCTTCTAATCTGCTGGCATTGCACGCTCCTGAAATGACTTGAGCTTGGTGTCAAGTCCCCAAACTCCCTTTCCCCCGTGCTGGGCCCCTGCCCCGGCCACGGAGTGGACCCCGAGTGCCCAGGGGGAGCGGTTTCCCTCCAGCGCGGCTTCCAGAACCAAAGAGAATTTCCTGGGCCGGGAGGGACTCCGCGCTGGCACCACCTCCTTCGTTCCAAAAGCTCAAGTCCAGGCACTGGCTGGGGCTCCCTTGCCCCTCCCACCCAGCCACACCACCACTTCCTACACAGGACCCTACAACCTCCCTCACCCAGGGGTGCCCCTGGGAACTGCTACCTACTGAAACACCCTCTTCTCAGACATCTCCTCCCACCCCCCGGTCCTCACAGCAGGCCTGGCTGGGAGCGCCAGCTACTGCTTTATCATCTAACCTCTGCCAGGTGTAGGTCAAGTGCACCTTTCCCTGCGCCCTGCCTGGAGCCGCACGGGAGGAAGACCCAATGGAGGGCCTGGGGCACCCAGAGAAGAGCCTTGGCTCCGCCCACATCTCTGCCTCTGGGACCTTGGAGGGGTGGTGCCTCCAGGGACCTTGGCGGTCATGGGATCAGGCCATGGGCCTGACCAACCAGGGCCTGCCCCGCAGGGCCAGCCAAAGGGGAGGCCCACCCAGGACTGGCCTTGGGGCAGAGAGTGGGTGGGGATCTGAGAAGTGCAAGTGGCAGTCATGGGACAAAGGATGCTTGCTCCTTCCAGTGGGGACTCCTGACTTCAGGCCTCTGCAATGCTGAGCTGTGCAAACCGAGTCAGTTACAGTGGCCGGAGTCCGCTAGTTCCCTGACAAAGGTCACAGCAGCAGCAGCAGCCGTTCAGAGCAAGGAGAGGCGTCTGGGGGTGAAGGGGGCCTGGCCAGCAGGTGCTCTGGGCCTGGTTCTGGGAGTGGTGGTCAAGAGCACTGGTTCCGGAGCCAGACTTCGCGGCTTCCAGTCCTGGCTCTGACCTCAGTCTCCCCAGCTGTGAAATGGAAATTCTAACAGCGCAGAGCTCAGCGGGAGGGGCTGTGGGGGACGTCTAAGCAATGCGATGCAAAAGCGCAGAACAGATCTGGGCAGAGGCCAGGCAGCTCAGAACCGCCGCTCGGTGACCATGACAACTTGTGCCACGCACGGGTTCTCAGGGGCTGCATCCACACACTTCCACTGGTGGGCCGGGCCAGGGGTCTCTGTGGTGTCTGAGCACCCAACGCGGCACCCACACGGCGCTCCTTACAGGACCCCCCCACGCTGCTCCACGCCCTTCCCCCTGACTTTCCTGTTTCAGACCTGGGCTGTCTCCACGGCCAAGATCCCGGGTATCTGCCACGCTGGGAGAGCGACGTGGACAGGACCCTCCCGTGGGTTCTCGTGGGGTGGCAGGACTTTCATGGCTGGGATGGCTGTGGGTGCCTGGGTGATCCAGGGCAAGCCCCTATGCCTGCCTGTGCCTTGGGCTACCCAGTGGAGACACCGGGTCGGGCTGTGGCGGGCCTCGCAGTGTGGACTGTTGTCTCCCGCAAACCCCGGAATTACACGGTGGGGGCCCTCATGCTTCTCAAAGCACCAGTGGCTCTCACTGAGGCAAAATGTCCCACAGTCCTGGGAAACTCTGGGGGGAGGGAGGGGTTGTCGGGGTGGCTGAGGAGCCCCCGAGCCTGGGCAATTCGCATGAGACATCTCTGACAGCTAAGCTGCAGCCAGGAGGGGTCGTCAGTGCCAGCCCTGGCCAGAGCACGTGGTGGCACCCGGTTGGAGGGTGGCGGGCGATAGAATTCTCTAGAATAGAGCTGTGTGGTATACACCCCAGTGTAGCAGGTGCTTCGGGCCGAGACGGATGGTTAGGAGATGGACTTCAAAATACAAAAGCAAGAAAAGCCTTCACAGTGGGGGTTCGCCACGGGAGGCCTGAGATGTTGGGACCGCGCCAAAGACTTGGTAGTTCCCTGCTCCTCACGAGCGCCGCCAAGGTGCTGCACTGACAGGTACAGGTGACAAGTGCTAGAGCAGCCTCCCGGGTGCCAGAGGGGTGCACATGGGCGGGTGTGCGCCTCGGGACATCCTACCTGGTTGGCTCTTTCAAGGTCAGTCATGATCATTTCGATCTCGTCGGCCCTAGGGAGGCGAGAGGGAGAGAGTGGGTTAGTGAGTGACGAGGCAGGCTCCAGGGGCGAGCAGCACCCAGGCTTCCGGCCCACAGCCTGGCGGAGCGGCCACAGCTGCAGGGGTGAGGCCACGGGTGCAGGGGCGAGGCCCCGGTCCTCACGCGCAGGCGGGACCTGCCAGGGGTCGCCTCTGCCGCTTGGGAGGCGGTGGGCTTGGATGGGCAGGCGGTGCCTGCTGGCTGCCCTTGCTCTTTGGATAATCGGGTGTCAGGCACAGAGCTCCAGAGCTCCCTCCACCCCACCTCGCCCGGCTCATGGGGGAGACGGAGCCACAGCAGATAGAATACAGTGTGTGTCAAAGGCAGCTCCAAGCAGAGGCTCTGGGTAAAGAGGAGGGGCTCAGAGAGAGGGACTTGGGGGGCAGTCAGGGGAGGCTCAGAGGGGGCGACCGGTGGGTCGGGATTTGAGGAAGTTCGCCAGGCTGAGCCCTAGCTGGGGAAAGGCTTCGTTAGGAAGAGGCGCCTGGCCACGGAGACCATGCCGGGACTAGGGGAACCCCCGGAAGGCAGTGGGCATGGGAGAGGCCGGGGAGGAGGAGACGGGGCGGTAGGCCAGCGCGAAGCTCTCGCCTGGCCTGCTCCTAGGAGTGGCGTGAGGCGTCTGGTTTTCCTTTAGCTGGGGAAGCACTCCCTGGAGTCAGCTGAAGGCAAATGCTTGGTCCCAGCACTCAGCTCGCTGGACAGGAGTGCCCAGCCTCCTACTGAGGGGCGTGGCCAGTCCCCAAAGCAACGGGCAAATCTCAGCCCACTGCCTGCAGGACAGGTCCTGGTGATGGCGCTGGCAGGAGGATTCGGCCCCACCCCTCGCTGCACCCAGGCGCCTGTCTTCCTAGCCCCGCCCACTGCCCATTCCATGGCCACTACCATGGGCTGGCACCCAAGCAGCCCAGGTCTGGCGTGGCAGCAGCACCTGGGCAGCCCAGGGAGCCCCATCTCCCAGCTCCTCCCCTCCCCCAGAGGCCCCACTCTGGGCGGCACAGGCCCTGAGGGTTTAGGGTTTCCTGGGACTTCCACAGCAAGCTCTCTCAAGGCTGTGCTGTGGGTCGCCCTGGCCCCATGCCCTCTAGTCCCGGGACATGGCACGAGGCTGGAGCTGGCTGGCAGGCAGGCAGGCCTGACTACCAGCTCCCCGGTCCCCCCTGCCACCTGCGCCCCCCGACCCGCTGTCTCCTGCTCCAGGCCTCTCCAGCCCTCCCCGGCACCCTGTGACTGGGCAATCTTATCAACTCCCAGCAGCCTGAATGGGGAAACAGACACCCGGGGCTCAGGTTCACGGCTCACTGTATCTGTCGGCAACAGTACCCGGCTCAGACCCAGCACGGCTCTGAGAAGGTCTCCAGCAGCCTGTCCAATGGCCTGGTTAAACGAAGCTATTTTTAGGACGGATTCGTGAAGAAAGCAGTGTCCTGGTAAGATAAATAACCCAACCTGGGCCCCTGCTGGGTGGGCGGGCAGCGGCGGCTTAAGTGATGGAAAATTTCTCCGAATCACCTCAAATGCAAGCCTCCAGGGTTTTACAGAAAAACGAGTGTGCCGAGTTAATCTAACACGCGCCAGAGGGGAAAAGCCAGGATCACCAAGGAGCGCGGGGTCGCAAACGTGACACAAAGGGGACATGGGTCAACACGGAAAACTGCCACCTTGGACTGCAGGGGACATGAGCCTCAAGCAGAGGTCCACACGCTTCCAAACCCGTCACGTGTACAAAGCCCACACATATGGCACACCCACGGCACACGCCCCCGGCTCCATTCACGCACTCATTCCCCGAATGCTGCTGGTTTGCCAATTCGCAGGGCTGGCCACGAACAGACACAGGCAATCCCCACCCCCTTTTTCCTTCTTTTAAAAAGATTTGTTTGAGGCTGGCACACCGGGTTCTAGTCCCGGTTGGGGCACCGGATTCTGTCCCGGTTGCCCCTCTTCCAGGCCAGCTCTCTGCTGTGGCCAGGGAGTGCAGTGGAGGATGGCCCAGGTGCTTGGGCCCTGCACCCCATGGGAGACCAGGATAAGTATCTGGCTCCTGCCTTCGGATCAGTGCGGTGTGCCGGCCGCAGCACGCCAGCCGTGGCGGCTATTGGAGGGTGAACCAACGGCAAAAGGAAGACCTTTCTCTCTGTCTCTCTCTCACTGTCCACTCTGCCTGTCAAAAAAAAAAAAAAAAAAAAAAAGATTTATTTGAAAGGCACAGTTACAGAGAGATAGAGACAGAGATCTTCCATCTGCTGGCTCACTCCCACATGGTTCCAACGGCCAGAGCTGGGCCAGGCTAAAGCCAGGAGCCAGGAGCTTCATCTGGGTCTCCCACGTGGAGTTGAAGTACTTGGGTCATCTTGCGCTGCTTTCCCAGGTGCACTGGGAAGGAGCTGGATCGGAAGTGGAGCAGCCGGGACCGGAACTTGCGCCCATGGTAGTTTAACCTCGACGTGGGCCCCAGCCCCTGCCTGTCCGGCCAGTGCCGTGGACTCAGGAGGAGTCTGTCTGGGCCTCAGGGGCCCTCCCGCCTTCCTCTCCTCTGGCCCAGTTTGTCTCCTTCTGTGTTCCTCCGCGCTGGATGACCCATTCTCTTTCGTCTTCTTCCACATCACTCAACCTTTCTTTGGCACGCTGCTTTTTCCTTAGCCTTTCTGCTGCCTTCTGGAAGGCTCTTGCCCTCGCTGTGACCAGTGCTTTTAGTTAGACCCATACTGGAATCTTTCCCATTTTGCTCCTTAGATACTTGATTTCTCGCCCTTCCTATTTCCCCTGGCTGAGCTGGTTTTGGTGGTGTCTGGCTAGAACCTTCCCTCGCCTCTGTGGGTGTGTTTTTCAAGGCTGCGTCTGTCTTCCGTGGCCCCGGGCTGCACACCCTGCCAAGTTTGGAGTCTGTCTTTCATTGGGGCGGTCCTCCTCCGGCCCTGGACGTGGACGGAAGGCAGGTACCCAGTGGCAGCGGCACGCATTTGCTGAGTGAAAGACAGGGAGGGGATGGGGTGACCCCGGGCCCCTAGGCTCCTCGCTGCTGTCTCTCCTCTGCTGTCCTCACACCAGGAGAGCCCCCTGGCCAGGGTGTGGGCCTGAATCCCCAGGCAGAAGCAGCAGGAGGGGTGGTCTGGCACCTGCTGTCCCTGGTGACCAAGGGGCCAGACCCGGCCTCCCTCCCTCCCCAGCATGAGAGAACAGAGGGGCTCCAAGAGGCCTGGAAGACATCAGGTGACCAGGGCTGGGGGCTGCAGCCGCCTCGAAACCACCTGGATTCCTTCCGTTCACGCGGGCGCCCACTGTGCAGAACGACACGTCACATCACTCACAACGAATCGGCACCACCTACACAGGCTGGAACGAGTGTCCAGTTTCCCCTCTACCGGCCAGTTTACCTTCGGTTCCTAGGCAACCGCTCAACTGACCAAAATACCGACCGTGATAACAATGGCGGCGCTCACCTTTCATCGCCAGAGAGAGCGGCTCTTGTCTCCGCCGCTCCCAAGCTCTCAAAGGCCAAGCACAGCACTGGGCTGTGCTGTCGCAAGGCAGGGTCACTGGACACCAGGTGTCGCGGTGGCAGCTGGGCCCAGGGGGACAATGGAAGGAACCAGGGGTCCCGCGGGTGAGGGGAAGCCTTGGTTATTATCTTAAAAGTGTGTAGGTTTCTTGCTCGTTTTTCTAAGGGGACACTCTTTACAAAAGGTCAAAGAAACCACAACTAGTTACAACCGGCTGGGGGTTTTAACGTGGGGAAGGTGGGGGGAGGCTTTGGAAGGCTGGAGTGCAGACACTGGCATTTGAGGCCAAGATCAAGGTGGTGGGGTCCGCCTGGAGTGCCCCCTAGTGGGGGCCTTGCGAATCCACGAGCCTCCTCACCCCACAAGAGTGCCCAGGACTTAGCACCACGGCCGGAAACCCCGCTGTCTTGAAAGTGCAGTAGCGAAGGCAGGGGCCTGCACTGTCCGCGAGTGGGGTTCCCGGTGCTCCAAAGCTGGCTTGTGTTTTGCATTCGGAAGGGCCGGCGGCTGCTCGGGTATCCACAGCCCGACAAAGGTCTAAAATCATGTGTTCTCCCAAGTCTGTAACAGTTGCACGTACTGTTTGCTCAGCGGAACGATTTATTATCAAAACTCAGCTCTCTCACCTTCTTATGAGCTGACAAGACAGCTTCCCCTGATCTATGAACCGCGCGGCCCCAAGCTCTGCGCTGACTCCACACCGTATCATCCCCAGCCGGGCCCTGAACACGCAGCTCACACTACCAGGTCCCTGGGACCCCGCCCTGCAGGGCCTTTCCCCGGCTGCCACACACACGTTTTGTAAGGAACTGAAGGGGTGGGCTGGAGGGAAGTCATACCCACGCTAGAAGCTCTGGCCACCTTCACGCGAGCTCGCCGAGGGCCAGCGCGAGGCACCGAGGCCAGGCGGTATCTCCACACCCAAAATGGCCACAGGGACACTAGGGGCCAAAATAAAGTTTACCGGGTCCCGGTCTCTGCAGCTTCTGCACCTGTGGGCTCAGCCAACCCCAGGGGAGTTGTCGCGGGAGAAGGAAAACTGTGCACGGCCTGTGCGGTTTTTCCCCGGTCATCGTTCCCTAACCAGCCCAAGCAAGGATTTCACTGCGTTCACACGGTGTCTGGAGACGGAGACCTGCGCAGGTCACCTGCAAAGGCCCCCCACTTTATCCGAGGGCCTTCATGGGGCGGGGTGGGGGGGCGGGGTCTGGGCATGGCAGATCCGAGGGCATGGCAGGTTAAGCTGCTGCTTGGGCCTCCGCGTCCCAGAGCAGAGCACCGATTCAAGTCCTGGCTTCTCCACTTCCCCTCCAGCTTCCTGCTGACGCACCCTGGAAGGCAGCGGATGATGGCCTGAGTGCTTGGGCCCCTGCCACCCATGTGGGAGACCAGGGTGGAGTTCTAGGCTCCTGGATTCCACCAGGCCCAGCCATCTGGGGAGTGAACCAGAGGAAGGAAGCTCTCTTATT